CCAACATGAGTCTCACGTTGTCTCAAGATTGAGCCATAGAGACTGAAGAAAACAGGATTGAAGAGACAGAAAATTCTATGGTTGTTGAAAGTTTAATCCTACGATCTATGAACAGAGGCCGTGTTAATGGAGGGGGAGATAGTACGTCCATTTCTCATTTTGACAAGAAACTTCCTCTGTGTATTTTGGTGTGACTTCTGCTACTTTGCAGTTGACATCACGGCAGCCATGTTGGTTAACAGGAACTAAACTCTTTTTAAACTCCTTTTTTTTTGTCAACCAACAGGACCATCATGTCTCTAGTTTGCAAAGAAAGAAATTGTGTTTGTCTTTGTGGGTCATGTACATGTAGCAGCTGCTTGGAAGAGAAGTCACCAATGGTGCATTTCCCTAACCCAAACAATACCAAAACAGTTGGAAGAATGACATGTCTTTGTTTCCTGCGACCAATTATTATTAGGAGCAGCTCCTACGCTACTCATATTTGTTGCTGTCACAGTTTGTTTCAACCAATCACGGTATCGTTTGCTGCTATTGTATCTGTATCTGTATTCCTCATTAGACCTTTACTCTAACAGGTTGTTTCTGAGGTTAGTGCCAGCCAGTTTTCAGGTAACTGGACCAGGGAGATGCTCCCTTGTGATTCACGATGACAACCACGACTGGAATGACTGGGGATGACTGTGCATGATCACAAGGGGTAACTGGGATGACTAGGAATGACTGCATGGGATGACTGAAATGACTAGAGATGACTGGAGCTAGTAGGGATGACTAAGATGGTTAGGGATAACAGGGATGACCAGGGTAACTGGGATGATTGGGATGACTGGGAAGACTAGGGATGACTGGGATGATAAGGGATGACTAGGGATGACTAAGATGACTGGGATGACTAGGGAAGGGATGATCAGGGATCACTGGGATGATTAGGGATGACTAAACATGACTGGGATGATTAGGAATGACTTGGGATGACTGCAGGGATAAAAAGGGATGAATAGGGATGACTAAGGATAACTTGGGATGACTAGGGATCACTAGAGATGACTGGGATGACCAGGGATGATTAGGGATGAGGGCTAGCTGGGAGGAATCTGCATAAGTTCGATGACCAGGGATTACTAGGGATGACTGGGATGACTAGGATGACTAGGGATAACTGAGATGACTAGGGATGACTTGGATGAGTAAGGATAACTGGGATGACTACGGATGACTAGGATGACAGGATGACTAGGAATGACTTGGGATGACTGGGATGAAAAGGGATGACTAGAGATGATTATGTATAACTAGGGACGACTAGGGATAACTGGGACGAGTCTGGATGACTTTGATGACAAGGGATGACTAGGGAAGGCTGGGATGACTAGGGATGACAAAGGATCAGTAGGGATGACTGGGATGATTAGGGATACCTAGGGATGACAGTGGGTTTCTCTTCCTGACTTACAGTTAATTTTTACTTTCACTACCGCCTGAATACCTTTTCACACTAAACCAAAGTGACTATAACAGGAAACTATCTCCTCTGTGATGCTCCACTTTTGAGATTGGAGGGCCAAAATCTCCATTCTTATGTGTGAACAGAAGACCTATCTGGTATGATTTCATCCTCGGAGACCCAGGGGCAGATAAAGGGGGCCAGGAAAAGTCTAAACGGGCAGAAAAATATATATGGAACGAAGAAAAGTAAAGAACGGCGAGAAGAGCCCCTGGGGACAATGTCTTACCAGACCAGTTCCAAACAGTCGCCACCGTTCTGGCTTCTGATTGGTGCCAGAAAAACACAAGTTTTCTGGCACCAATCAGAAGCCAGAACGGCGGCAACCGTTTGGATCTGGTCTGGTAAGACATTGTCCCCAGGGGCTCTTCTCGCCGTTTTTTACTTTTACCTCCCCCCACTATCTGCCCCTGGGTCTCCGCGGATGGTATGATTTTTGCTGGCACAAAAGTTACCTTCATGTAGTACAGTGTGAACATAGCTCAAAGGATGATATTTATGACAAATTATCAAACAGTGTCATGAATGTCTTTTATTGCTATCTAACTGCAAGTGTCATGCATCCCTCACAGTTTTTCCGTTCACCATTCATCTAGTGTGAATGTAGCCTGAGCCATTTGTTATGGCATGATTAAAGCTGAAATACCTCAAGCTTACCTTAACTATGAAGTATGGGTCAGCACACATCAAGAAGAGAAGTTCATCCAGAAAATGGAACAAGAGACCAAGCATGTCATCACCTGATAAAAGTCATATTATTTTTCTCAAATATTTAATAGTATTTATGACAGTTGTGAGGTTCATTCACAGTTATAGGAAATGAAGGGCTATAAACAAGAAAGTCCTTGTAATATCTGGAAATCTTCAAATGCATGGGCTCATTGTTATGCATTTATTTGAAGCATATGAACACAAAGTACAATGGCTACGTAATATTGACAGGCTCACGAGATAATTATTTATAACTGGATAAAAAATGAGCGCATCTTGTTGTCCTCTAATCCACGACATAAGATTACACAAGAGATGATTAAGTACTGGGGCAACTTCAAAGGAAGATAAAAGTAAAATGGTTTACTTTCAATGGAAAATAGAAAGAAAATACTTTTTAAAAAACAATCTGACAGATTATATGAGTTGAATGAAACATTATAACCTAATGATACCTTCCGCTGTAATTTCTTCTACCCTCACAATGTCAACTGTGCATAAATCTGTCATGTAGCCAAACATGGCTGTTGCTACCTTAACACAATATTAAAATGATGAGAAATTATTCTGTGCATTAACAACAATGTACCCAGGGGGGACTTCCTAGGAACAGGCTAATGGAGATGTGTTAAACCAGAAACTCATTATGAGTTTCTGGTTAAACTTAATGCACTAAGGCAAATGTTGCAATTCACTTCAGGATGACCTAGTTCAAAGGCTTTACAAGGTAGATGCATAAAGAAGTTTGGATCACAACAATCACATTTGCCCCCAAAAAGCTAAGATGCAGTCTATAATAACTGGCCACGGAATAGATTATAATGGGTTCTAAAGGGGTTCTGTGAAGCCAGCGGCACATACTGAGCAAAAAGTTGACTGAGGTAAGCCCTCCCCCTGCCAGATTAACTACCAAACAAAATGAATCAAAACAGAGGCTTAAAACGAGACATAGTATAAAACTGATCATGTATACAAACTAAAAAAAATTATACCTGTTCAAAGGCTTCCTTCAGATTGTCACCCCCTAATTAGTTCAAAGATGTCAACAGCAATTTATTTCAAATAAAGGAAATTATTTAACAATACCACAAAAAGTTGTTGGGAAATAAAGTGGGATCTACAAATGTATTTACTAGTGGCAAAATGAATTACAATAGAACTTGAGCTCTCTGCGGTCGTCAACTATAATTGTACAAATAATGCAACGTATCACTTCAGAGCAAAAAAATGACTTTAAATGGGTAACATTATTACTAGTAACCCAGGACTTTGTGGCTCACAAATAAGGACAAGAAACAATAACTGAAATTAACATACCAGTAATATAATAATCAGTTGGATATTTGAAAAAGGAGATGCATGGGCGATGCTGAGAATTATCATTCAGATAACACAGAGGAAATATCCGCAATAGTAATTAACTTTTCATATACATGTACAATATCCACATCTTCATAAAAGGATACAAGCATGGAGTCTGCAAAAAATAATAAATTATAATAATTGATTAGTAATGATAATAACAATAGTACTAAGAACACAATTTTTAAGTAAATTTTTGGGAGATAAAGAAGTTTTCAGTTAGTGTTGACAATTTATTCCAAGTTGCATGTATCCCACAGGGTGCCTCACAAATAAGCAGCAGCGGACTACACTACTTTTGATGAATCTTTGAATAAAAGTGATTGTTGCATAAATTGCTCCTATTAACAAATCTTGTAGTTTCCCAGGCTCTCCTTCCTAGGGACCATCTGTATCACAGTATCACATCATGCAAGTCATTCCAGTGGATTTGATTGTGATAGGGGTGGCTGGACTGGTTTCCACTTGAGGGACTCTTATGGCAACCTCTCTGCTGTGCCTAGATTGTTTAGGCCCTTACTATGCTAACTTTTAAGGGACAAGTTCCTTAGCTCAGCAGTTGCTGGGGATGTGATCGGGGAGTGGTACTTACTGGACATCAGCTGTATGATCCAAATCTGTAGCGTTACAGACAAAAAGAAAAAAGGAGACAGAGATGAGTCTATCCAGCATTGGCTTTAGTAGGGACTTATTGCAAATCACTATGGCAACATTCCTTCCGGAGGTCATGGATATAGAGTCCTGGGGAGAGTACGCTGCCGTAGCCCACCAAATTTCAACTTTAAGCAAGTTGTACCCAAACAGTTATAATTATGGGGTTTCTCGCTCATTTGCTTTCGCTGTTAGTTAAAGGTAGGGAAGATCTAATAACTAGAAAACCAGAAGTGTCAAATCCCAGGGGCCCCACTCACATATTTTAACGACGGCGGGTCCGAAGGATTTTTTTTGGTCTGACATTTTGGCCAAAAGGGATTTTTTTGGGTCTGTGAAAGACGCTGGGATTTTTCGGGTCGCGAAAACAACAGAGGGATTTTTTTGGGTATTGTATTTTTCATCAGCTCAAATCAAAAATGACATAAGCGCAATTTACAGTTTTCTTTTTCAACAAAACCAAAGTTGAAGTTGGCATGTTTTATCTTTCCAGAAGATAAATAATAAAATTTGCTGATGCAAAAACGCTGAGGGATTTTTTTGGGTATGCTAAAAAAAGTAGGGATTTTTTTGGGTAGACAAATTCTGAAGTTGGGATTTTTTTGGGTATAAAATATGAACCTCTGTCAGACCCCCCAACCCCCCCCTCCCCCCCCCTGTCATTAAAATATGTGAGTGGGGCACACCCCTGGGCATCAAATACTTTCTTGATAAGTGAAAACAATCTATGATAGGTTTTAAACTTGTGACTGAAAAAAAAAGGAAAAAAGTTGAACTTTATACTCACGCAAGAGTGATTACGACACAAGACAGGTCTTCGATCACATTTTACGATCTGATGCTACGGCAATTAAGGTCATTTCCAAACATACATGTACGCACTGCATTTATTGAGGGCTTTTTTACTTCCAGCTGCTGTAGTACAGGTCACCATAGTGATTTTGCTTAAAGTCCCTAGTACATGTATTATGCATTACTCTTAACAAAAAAGTAATGAATATAGAGAAAATTATACACAATTGTACAAAATGAACCAGCTGAATGCTTCTTGGTTTAGATTATATTTTCCTTTGTTTTTGGGTATGGTTAAGCATGATAATGAGTTTGAAACAAGACAATAAATAAAATTTAAACCAAGAATAGAATTTCTGAGCCACAAGACATGAATAAATTTATAAATTAATTTGTGAGAACTGAAGATCCCGTGTTATAATAGTAGTCAGTTAGTACTGATCTATGTGCAAAACCAAACTGTATGTAGTGAAAGTAGTATTAACATTTCACTACTGTTCCTTTAATAGTTAATACTTACACTCATATTTGACAGTTTTTTCTCCGCTTGCAGAACTTTCAGCCATGTTAAGGGACAAAAAGAGATTCCTACCGCGCAAAATGCAAACACCTTAAGATGATGACTTCGATTTCACCACAATTTCATCACTTCTATCGCGTTCAACCGTCCGCCATACTGATTGCGCCTGCGATTATTTAGTACGTTAAGAGCATGCGCCTAAAAGCGTTATTTCGACCAAGATGGCGGCAGATTTGAGTGTCGTCAATGCTGTTGTTGTTATTCAGGTAAATCAAATAGAAACCATTGTCCCAAGACAACTTTGTAGATTACTAAGTTGTACAAGATTATCTAAATATTGTCTTGTTTGTATGCCCATCAACAGGCACAAATTCGAGGATTCCTAGTTCGTAAAAAACTCCAAGAAGTCCGTAAGGAATTTGAAGAAGTTCTACAAGAGTTAGAAAGCGACGTAAAATTCGTGTGCTGGAAGAAAAAGGATTTAGCGATACCCCTGGTAACTTCCGATCCCAAATTATTTAAGAGCACAAATGATGAATCAAACCTTGTTAGCAGAGAAAATGACAATGAAATAACAAGGAAACAAGGTTTATTGAAGGGGGGATTGCGTAGTTGTAGTAACGTCGACGAGACCGGTGGTCATTCACTTGGAAATGAAATACTAAATGAATTACATACCGATCAAGTTGAAAAAGAGGAAATTATAGACCATGACGGAACTATACCGGAAAGAACTTCAAGATCTGCAAGATGTGATGATGATTTTCGAAAGAACCTGGAATTTCTTCCTGAGAATGAGGTGGTCGAAATGGAGGTAACCGAAATGGAAAGTGGAAGCGAGAAAAGGCCTCACCCTGCAGAAAAAAGACTTGAAAGGCGAGAAGATTTAGGTGGTCATGAAGAATTCGAAGAGAGAGGATATGATTTGGGGGCTGATAGATTACCCCAAGAAAGAACGTTGTATTCTTCTTCAGATATTCCTTTAAATGGCGCTATCAATCCTCTGTTGTCCAGTAACGAGGAGTTAAAGGGAAAAGAACATAACAATGGATCTAAAGCATCGCCCATGGATTTGGGGCAAAGGAGATCTTATTTGAGGGATCAGGCACTTCTCAGTGATAGTTGGATGAGTGACAGATCATTTGGTAAGCTAACAATTAACAGCCGCTGTTTACAGTTATACAGTGTGGGACAATGTTAATTTAAAACTTTTAGACAGATAAAAATAGATGGGGCTGTAAGGACTTAAGCCCATTTTTCACCAAAATTAAAAGAATTCTTTTTTGATCATAGTACAGTGGAACCCCGTTAATACAGCAGGGTTCTCAATAGAAGGCGGCACCCGGCGATTGATCGCCGCTTACTTTGGGATTTATAGCCGCTTACTTTGTGTTTAAGTCGCTTTTCTTTGCTTTGTTTTGACACCTCTGGCTTTGCTGAAGAGCCTCCTACTTTATCAGTGATCACCTCCTACTTAAAAATCTATTGAGAACCCTGTACAGACACCAACAGGACACGCTATAGTGTCCGTATTAAGTGGATTAATTTTAGAGAAAATATATAACCCTCTATTTTGTCGGGACAAACTGTCTGTCATATACAGTTTTCAGTATAAGCTGTTCCCGGGGGGGGACTCCCATATGAAACAGACGGGGATGCTCGTCGGAAATTTTGAATTTAACCCTGAAAGGAGACCATCTGTGCGTGGCTCAAGCAAATTTTGACCCCTTAAAGAGACCGCTTAAAAACACACAAATACGACATGCAACGAGTAAGACATAATCATCGAATGCTTTTATCTAAAAGTAGTTTTTAAAAGCATTGTCATAAATCTCAAGCTCTTCGCAGAGCCCTAAACGAGACCTCGGCGGCTTAAAATATTGGCGCTTTGCCCGGAACACCCTAAGCGAGACCAAAATCCAAAATTTACACCCCTAAGCGAGACGACGAGCATCCCCGTCTGTTTCATATGGGAGTTCCCCCCCCCCCCGGGAAGCTGGTGTCCGTACAGCAGGGGTTCACTGCACTGTTTATGTGGCATTTTTGTACTTTATGATTATCAGTGACAAGAGTGCTTTGTTTAAACCATAGAGGGGGGTACTCCGGATTTCAAGTGATGGGGGTCATTGAATAGAGGCAAAAATCAAAATGCAAAAAAATTCCTCAGGGCTTCCAACAAAACCCAAACAATATCCAAAAATTAACCCCCCAAAAATCCCATGCCAAAGTTCCCATCCCTAGCAAGTTCGGTTGTACATTTCTGCAGAACTAGAACACGGCGCAATATGTGAGCTATACCATGAATCTTCAGATTGTTTTGAATACCCCCAAAAAACTTCCATCATCCTCATCACTTGAAATCCGAAGTAGCTTCCCCCCCACGCCTTGGGCATTTAAAAAGCTAATTTTGAGGGTCTATTCCTCAAGCAAGGTTATGTATAAAATCCTAAGACAAATGCATGTTATGATTTGGGAACAGGTTAATTTTTGTTAATGAAGGTTGGGGAGATGGGGGGTGAGGTTAAGGGGTACTGGTACTGCAAAAGAGACAGTCTGCACATTTTTCCAGAGGCTTGTACCTCTGAACATGCTATAGATTAGCCTGCATAGCAAGCATTAATTTGTTTTACCAGGGTGTTCATTAGGCATCGGAGATTGGAGAATTCTCTGTTTACAATGAAAAATTCTCCTGCTAACGTTCGGTAGCCTGTGACTATTTTTATTCAGATGAGGAGTCTCTTTCAAAATATTTCTCTTGTAACATTACCCCTTTCCCCACACTCCTGCTTCTAGAATTCTTAATGAAAACCCTGTTTTACACTGTAGACATGCAATACATTGTTTTATTTCTGCCCATCAATCCGGTGTTGTACGTGTCTCTTGTCAGATCCAGTGGAAGATGACAAAACAACAGCATTTACCGACCTTCCCACTGATCCTGTTAAACTACGTGAACTTAGAGATCACATTGGAATGGAACTACTTTGGACAGAGCAAGCAATACAAAGTAGAAAAAAGGTAAGAGCCAAGACTCCTTTATTATCCAATACTACATATTTTCCTTACCAACCATGCTTCTAGTACAAGCATGTGGTAATGGTGAGATCATGCAAATGAGTCTCACTCAAAACACGGAGGGGTAATATTTAGAATAAAAGTTTAGTGTACACTTTTAACAAGTGCACTCTCACGAGAAGGTCATAATATTTCCTGACACGAACACTGAAACTCGATCCTTGATCATCGTGACGCGAGACTCCATCCTCAAAAGTTTTGAGAATCGAGAATCAACTCTTGAGAATCGAGTCTCAAGGATCGAGACACGGGTGACTGTCAACTCACTTTTAAGTGGTACTGTATGTATCTTTCATTCTAACTTTCGAATCTGTGGACAAAATCCTATCATAAGAACCTTTTTGTAGTAAAAGAACAGGAAACATTGAGGTATCTCTAGTCTTCAAATCGTACAGTGCAGTCAATACAGTTCACATATAACACGGCGTCAATTTCAAGTGAGCACCTTCCAGTGGTTGGTCGTTTGATATAGTTTGACTGCATTGTGTGACCGGAAGATGCCATTATCCTCCATTCATGTTATCATTCAAATGAAACTTCAGTGGCAGAACTTTTGCATCATAAGATTTAACAAAAAGAAATAAGGAATTTTTTGGCAAGAAGGGTGGTGGGGGGGTGAATTTCCACTCTGGCCTCTGTTAAAAGTGAAAGAGAACTCTCCATTTCTCTCCTGGTTTACACTTTGTGCCAGTACCAGTGGTGTTTGTTGAGATCATTACTATGCATGGCTGATTAGTTGTTACGGTTGTTGTTTTCAGTACCTGAATTTAAGAAAGGACCTATCACATCAAGAGTGTGGCTCTGATTGAACCATCACCTGGGACTGAGCAGCAGATTATGAACTTGGTTTTCCATTGGCTGTCAAGAGCTCTGGTATAAAAATTGTTAGATATTGCCGAACACTGTGCAGTGTGCAAACCTCTCATTGGGCACACCTGCCCAAGATGGACACCTCCCCATTATGGACAGTTGAAAATTGGTCCCAAACTTTGTTCCTACAATTCCTTACTCCATAATACAAATGAGGTAACACCTACTACCCAAGCCACGTAGGGCTGCTGTTACACCAATGCATCAGTGAACTGGATATTTCTTTCCCAGAGCAATTGACACTTAACAAGATATCTACATAATTTGCGGTAAAGTGTACAATACGCAACATGAAAAAAATTGAGATCAAAGTTTCCTATTAATTACCCAGCCTCTGCAGATCATAGTTTCCTATTACCTGATCTCTGCATATTTTCATCCAGGCAATGTAAGGTGACTTGTAATGGACTCAAATGGAAAAAAGAATACCATCACTACTTTGTGTGTTTCTCATTCTATTCAAGGTTGCAGTTATTAGCAAATGCTAATGACTAGCTATACTAGTCAATGTA